ACTTGATTGTTGTAAGTGTTGCAAATGCTTACAGCTGAATCCTGGCTACGTTTGTATACTTTTTATTTAAAATTGTATACAGTGTAACATTCTTCTTCTTCCACTGGGTACGTATATTAGTACTTAGGCAATACTGTGCTTCGGAACTTCGGCAATTCGGCACTTCAGAACGTCGGTAACTTCGGAACTTCGGCGCTTCAGCACTTCGGAACTTCGGCACTTCGACACTTCGAAAATTCTGTAATTTTGGAACTTCGGGACCTAGGTAATTCGGCACTTCGGCTATTCGAACATTCGGAAGTACCCGAATGTCCGAATTGCCCGAAATTCGTCCGAATTCATATTCGGCCCGAAACGAATTGCACATTTCTAGTGGCCACATTCGGCCACATATTATCTTTATATTGTACATATTCGGAGTAATGGATATATAGAAACATAGAAACATAGAAACATAGAATGTGACGGCAGATAAGAACCTTTCGGCCCATCTAGTCTGCCCAATTTTCTAAGTACTTTCATTAGTCCCTAGTCTTATCTTATAGTTAGGATAGCCTTATGCCTATCCCACGCATGCTTAAACTCCTTTACCGTGTTAACCTCTACCACTTCAGCTGGAAGGCTATTCCATGCATCCACTACCCTCTCAGTAAAGTAATACTTCCTGATATTATTTTTAAACCTTTGTCCCTCTAATTTAAGACTATGTCCTCTTGTTGTGGTAGTTTTTCTTCTTTTAAATATAGTCTCCTCCTTTACTGTGTTGATTCCCTTTATATATTTAAATGTTTCTATCATATCCCCCCTGTCTCGTCTTTCCTCCAAGCTATACATGTTAAGATCCTTTAACCTTTCCTGGTAAGTTTTATCCCGCAATCCATGAACCAGTTTAGTAGCCCTTCTCTGAACCCTCTCTAAGGTATCAATATCCTTCTGAAGATACGGTCTCCAGTACTGTGTACAATACTCCAAGTGAGGTCTCACCAGTGTTCTGTACAATGGCATGAGCACTTCCCTCTTTCTAATGTAGCTCTCGTTCGGCCATTATGCATTTTGTATGGTATTTGACAGCAATTAACCTTGTAGTATGTTTTATTAATAATGCATTCAGCCCTCATTTGGCAATTTTTATGCATTGTCTGTTAATATTGGGCAGTATACAGCCATAACAATTATTCTGTTGTACTATGACTATGTTTAGCAGCCTCACTATTGGCATATTTTGGGTTCAATTTCCCCCAAGTTAGACCATTATTATGATTACTTGTAAGGTTACTTACGGCCACACCATATGTTTACTTGGCAATGTATGTTCGGCCCTAACTAGGCCATATTGCATGCAATTATTAACATAATAACGCACTCATTTGGCCTACCTACTCATGGTTGTATATTTATTTTAATTAAAAATGCATCAGCCATGCAGCATACTGCTTGCAGGGTTAATCTCTCTCTCTCTCTCTCTCTCTCTCTCTCTCTCTCTCTCTCTCTCTCTCTCTCTATATATATATATATATATATATATATATTTATATATGTATATCAGCCCTGGTCCAGCATTCTATTTCAGTGACAATTTGCATTTGGCATCATTCTGCAACAGGGCAGTTCATCCTTGGTACACTCTGGCCACGTTCAGCCTTACTCCAAGATTCATTATAACCGGTTCTTATTTGGCCACACTACATCACTTTCTCGTAAATGCAAGTTAACCTTTAATTAGGCTTGTGGTTTGTTTGGCTCAGGGTTACAAGCTTGGCTAAATCTGGTCATGATTGGCCACATTATACTACTAATGTAGATATAATGCATGGTTCTTACAGGGTATTACTCGGCCATATAGTTTTGTTTGTATGGAAAATATTTGGCCACATTTGTTTCAACGTATAGTATTTGTTTGGTATTGTGCATATCCGGCCCTTATTCGGCCATACAGTTTGTTCAGTATTATGCATATTCTGCCCTCATTCAGCATATAGCATGTTAGGTATTGAGCATATTCGCTCCTAATTCGGCCATATAGTATTTGTTGTTGGGTATGTTTGGCCCTCATTCAGTCACATAGTATGTTGATATTTTGTGCATATTCCACTTAATTTGGCCAAAGAGCAAGTTGGATATCGGGCATATTTGCACAGTTAATTATCAGCCTTCCTTTTGGCAATAGAGTATGTTATGTAGGGTTCTTATTCGGCCCTCATTCATTCATTTGTTTGTAAGTATAGCAATCATTACATTCGGCCCTCAGTCGGACTCACTGTTGTATATTGGATATGCCCACGTTCGGCCATATAGAGTATAATATGTTCATCATTCAGTCACACTGCATATTTACTTGTGTGTCTATACTTGACAAACTATTTAAATATTCTATACACGTATCACAATCTATAACATGTATCATAAAAATAGAAACAATAATAAAAATAATGATAACAAAGTATTTAACCAGGAAAGGCACATTCAGATTACTATGGCTTTCAAGTACGTCCTGGGCATGTTACCTTAGCCCAACATCCAGGGGTTGTTACTATTACCCAATTTAATGTATAAGTGATCACTAAAATACCCTGATTATAAAAATCAGTGATTCCCAAGCTTGACAAAGCCCAGGAGGCGGCAAAACATGTTGCATGCGGAATCGGAAACAAACTGTGAGGGAGAGTGTCGGAGTGAGCTAAAGCTATCAGTGTAAAATAAGAACTGCCTAATATCAGAGGATCTGAGAGATCTCCTGAGAGAACACAGGACTGAGCTGTATATTCCGAACTGCTTTCCCTTGTGTACGACAGAGTGAATTTTAAGTTTGAATAAAGTTTTGAAAACGTGGTTATCGGCTGGTGGTGAGTGATTTGGATCACATGCACACTTGGGGCTGATCCCCCCAGAGCCTTATAGTTTGGGGTGGTACTATAACTACAGCATGTTTGTGAGTTGCATTTTTAAGAACTCTTTTATTATCTTTTAGTGCATGACAATATTACACTATGTTCTCTGTACCTTTATCTATTGCAGATTTATGAACGAACGATATATTTTGTTTGTGCAAGTATATCTATAGGTTTTATTTGCGAATTGGTGGTTGTGCTACATCTGTGGGGATCACTGATTATTTTTGTAATCAGGGTAATTTAGCGTTTACTTATACACATTGTTTCTAATTTTTATACTATTTTTTTACTTATACACATTGTTTCTATTTTTATGATACATGTTATAGATTGTAATACATGTATAGAATATTTAAATAGTTTGCACACCAATTTATTAATTATTTATCTAGGATCTTTTTACCAGGGTTTATTTGGTTTGCTGTATGCCTAATAGTGACACTATTTAATCATTTCTTTATAAGCACTTGCACTTTGAATTAGACTATAGCGTCATCTTGTTTTATTTCTGCTGTTTTGGATACTTGTGTCTATGTTCAGCCCTTATATGGCCATATCACATATCTTTCGTAAACATAATCCGGCTCACATTTGGCCTACACACATATGGTTGCACCTCATGGGGAGAGACAATGGGAATGCGTCATTGTTTCTTGTGTCTATTATCTCAGCCTATGCTTGGCCCATGAGTATACAATAATTTGTAGATGCATACGCTCCTAGTCCTACTGTTAAACTTTAGTTCCACTTAGATATACGCACACGTTAGGCAAGTCTGACCTGTATACTGCGGTCCCTATACTGCAGTCACTACAAAACAATACTCAGCATAGCCAACCTGGTTCTTGCCCTCATACAGTAAATTTAAGTTATGATACTTATATAACTCACTTACAAAGAAATTCTCGACTGTCATCATTGATTAATTATAAGCCCCGTTCTGTTGCTTATCACAGTCAAATTCTCACAAATTGGAGGGGATTGTGTTGGTATAACAATAAGGCTAATCCTGTTATATGTGCACGGTAATCATATTGTAATACCCGTATCAGTTTTTAGTTATACGTTAGTCAGTTATGCATGTTATTCTTATCAAGATCCTCTTCACCTAACTCTCCCTCATCTGAACAATTTCAAGCAGACATTTTTCACAGTAAGAACACTATTTACCCTTTTACTATATCGCCCTCAGGCTTAGCCATATATATGTTACAACCTATTATTGCATCTGTAGGTGTCCCATGTTATGCTCCTTATGCAAACTTTTTGTGCATTGCTAAATACGATACGAACACCCTACCACAACATTCAGTGGCATCAGCTCCACGGCCCAAATTGAGCGTCTTTCAGCTGCTTGGTACCTAGTAGTGCCTCACCTTTCGCCTGGCAACAGTTAGTATGCCAGTTCTAACCTAATGTTTTTTGTTTTTTTTTCATTTCAGTTTCTTTCATTTCAGGTACCTTTAGGGAGGCAGGATGGGAAAGCCATCTTCCCCTTGCAGGAGCTCAGCCTACAAGGGTAAGCGTTTTATGTCTGTCGCCTGCATACAGTGAGCATTGACAACAGATATATTTTCCGCACAAAATTTAAAGCAGCAATCCAGAACTGAGTTCCAGGCTGCCAATGTCACATGTTTTGGGGTTGCAACTAGCCCCCAGCACACAAGTGCAAACAAACTGAATATGCATACTGCACCACCATGATCAATTCAAATCACTGAAGTGGTCATAGTGGCTGGAGTAATTCTTTAAGGGAAATAGTTAATAAATATGATATATATACAAAATGCCTTATACTTATAAATATACTTTTATAAACAAAACAATGTAATGCATTTAATGCATTGATTTTGTTTATTGTAAAGTAGCTGGAGCTGGATATTACAATGGGCAAATCCACTAAGGATCGAAAGAAAATCCAAGGCAATTCTTACACATAGGTCAAGGTAAACAGAAAAAAATACATATCTGAGGATGTAGGTAAGTGGTCAAATATCTGGCACTAGTGTTGTCCCGAACTGTTCGCCGAACGGTTCGCGAACGGTTCGCCATGAACGCTTGGCCACGGACTCATCATTGAGTAAACTTTGACCCTGTACCTCACAGTCAGCAGACACATTCCAGCCAATCAGTAGCAGACCCTCCCTCCCAGACCCTCCCACCTCCTGGACAGCATCCATTGTGAAGCTGCATTCCTAGTTAAACTGTCCAGGAGGTGGGAGGGTCTGGGAGGGAGGGTCTGCTGCTGATTGGCTGGAATGTGTCTGCTGACTGTAAGGTACAGGGTCAAAGTTTACTCAATGATGAGTCCGTGGCGAAGCGTTCGTGGCGAACCGTTCAGCGAACAGTTCGGGACATCACTATCTGGCACCAAATACATGAACAGTTGGAGTAGTATGTGAGGATGGGAATGGAGGCAGAGTCTAAGGGAGGCAAGAATAGGAACAGGAAGAGAGACTAGAATAGGAGAGGAAGAGAGACTAGAGTAGGAGCAGATAAAGAGACTAGAGTAGGAGAGGAACAGAGACTAGAGTAGGAACACGAAGAGAGACTAGAGTAGGAGCAGGAAGAGAGACTAGAGTAGGAACAGGAAGAGTGACTAGAGTAGGAAAAGGAAGAGTGACTAGAGTAGGAGCAGGAAGAGAGACTAGAGTAGGAGCAGGAAGAATGACTAGAGTAGGAACAGGAAGAGTGACTAGAGTGGGAGCAGGAAGAGAGACTGGAGAAGGAGCAGGAAGAGAGACTAGAGTAGGAGCAGGAAGAAGAGCTAGGAAAGGATTACAACATGGTGAATGTTGTGTTTAGGCACAGAAGCATCAAAATTCCTCAGTGATGGAAATCTCCCTATAGGATGGGTCAAGAATAATACATGGAATAGAAGGACATAGCAATTCTAGTACTCATTGTCAGAATGGTGACCATGCAATAAGATGTTTGGGTAAATTTAGGATGGACGTTTCCTATTTTGCCCAAGTCCCTCTGTCCCTCTTTTCTATCCCAAAGCCTCTTGGGAAGCTCCATATTCTTGGTGTGTCTGAGTGTATACTAGAGCTCCATGGCAATAATACCCATAATAATGTCTTATTTTATGATAAATGTGTTTGGAAATCAGTCTGTAGAAATATGATACTTTGTTCTTGTTTTAAATTACAGGTTAGCAATAAATAGTTTTTAGTAAATAAGTCATAAAGTAATCTAAATCTGTCAGAACAGACCCACCCCCACTTGGTCCATTCTAAATGTCAGAAATATAGGTGAGTGATAGAAAAATGTAATATTGGAAAGGATGTGAATGGCAGGGTTTAGGTTAATGATTGAAATGGAAACATATTTTAGAAATCTGCTGAACATTATTCACAGCATGTGTTGATTACAACCATTAATTAATATACACCTCTCTCTCCCTGATTCACATCGCCTGTCTTTCAATTCTTCCTCCATGTGTTTCATTGATGTCACAGATGCAAAGATTTACAAAGTATTTGTTTGATGGTTAATGCTCTTTGTTTTATTTTCGTACAAGTGGAAATAATTCAGTCTTGTTTTGTTCTGAACAAAACAGCCATCATAATCTGGTCATAAGTATTGCTTGTCAGAAACAAGGTTCTCTTTGAAGAGAACTTTTTATAACGAATGGTGTTGTGCATTACGGATCTAGGATACGGGAAAGGAGAACTCCACCCAAAAATGATACATAACTCACCACATTAAAGCTACTGGAAGCAAAAGTGCACAAGGCCCCCTAGGATTGAGAGATACTATTCAAAATAAATCCTCATGTGTTTCTTATTTGTATTAGTGGAAGATGGGTGGAACGTTAATATTCAGTTGATGATTTATCCTTGGCAAAGCTACCTCTAAAGCACCAAAATATGCGTCGGACCTCTTTTTCTGTTAATGGGTTAGCACAATTTTTCAATGTTAATTAAACTCCATTATAAATATCCTTTGTGGTCACCGCAAGTTCTTTTAGTGCCTAGTGCCTCTGTGTGGCCAACATTTTCCCTCCACATGCGAACTACCAGGAGTCTAGCCACTTGCTTCAAATGTCTGAGAATCAAGCTACCACTGGCAAAAGCTGTGTTACTGGATCTTAGCAAAACATTTAATCGTTCCATTTACATGTTTTGATCTGAATCTTTTTTGATGTTTGCTGTAAAGGCCATACAGCTCTGGGTGCTTGTAACACTTGGACTTTATGAGCTTTTTGGTAACTTTGGCAACAAATTGTATACTAACAATAGACCCACATACGTGTCTGGGGCATGGTTGTGTTTTTCTCAATGGATTTGTTATACACAGGAGAGGGTGGTAGAGCACTTATTAGATCAGCTGCATGAGTATGGCATGGAGCAGTGTTGTTACAGCCAGGACTGCCATAAGAAGTTACAGGGCCCCTTGAAACAATTTTTGCCCCCCCAGGCACACACTCCCTGACATCTGCACACAGATACACAGACACAGTCACAGCTACAGAGAATATCTAGACACTCTCCCAGAAACACACACAGATACACACTCAAAAGATACACATCAAACACAGAGAAACATATTCATAGACACACAATGGTACACTAATACTTTCAGACACAAGGATCCACACACAGATACACATTGCTAGAAGCACAAATTTGCAGACACACAATTTCATACACATGTATAACTACACGTTCACAAACATGCACAAGTACACATTGCCGGACACACAAATACGCTCGGACGGTAGCACTCAGATACACACCGCTATATATGTGCACACTGTTACTGACTCACAAACACAAATGCACACTGCTACAAGTTAAAATACACAATACAACACACAGATACACAATGACATCCATAGCAATAAACATGCAAAAATAATTGAATGATTGCACATTTTTAGAAGCCCTGCCTGGGGTACACCGAGAGTGGGAAATGGAGCAGGTTGTTGGCTCCATCTCTCAGTGTAATTATATGTAAACACTCCCAGTGCTACCATGCGAGGGAGCAGCTAAGCTATTCTATTATGGCAAGGGGTCCAGGTTGATGAAGTTTGTAAATGTGGTCTGATATTTCTAACACACTAACTTGACCCCACAATATTAAGGGGGCCCCAAGTGGGCTTAGATAGGAAATACACCAGACTGCGGGGCTTTAAAGAACACTCAGCCCACTGTAGTGGTTATGGTTCCAGGAGTGCCCTGGTCCTTCCCATTGTAAGAAGTCAAACTGTTTTAGAATTTTTATTACCTGGTACTGCCTACACAACATCTGAGGGAGAGCTGGGAGCTTAGCAGGAACTTCTGTTAGCTCTCCTGTACTAAGTCCTGCAATGCAAGGCTAGCTCATTGACTGCTAAAATAGCAAGCTTACATTTCTGGTGTGTGGGACACACACACACCAGATGCAGTGTGTTGTAGTGGTTATGGTGCTTGAGTATTAATTTCCTTTAATATCCTAATGGTGACCATTCTTACCTAACTGGATTTGGCCTGTGAGGCAATTGTGAATTTTCTGCCACCTGCCTTCTATTTGGAAATCTAATTGCCCTAATGGCAAATGAGGACCAAAGGGTTGGGTGAAAGCAGATGGGAGATGAAGCCGCTTCCATCCGGTCATAAAAAATTTAATTACTCCATAGTGAGTGAGGGAATTGAGAAAGCCCATACTCTGTGTCCATGGTGCAGTCTACATACTGCCTTGCTTGGAAAGAAAACCCATTTGTTATGTTGGATGTAGGAAGGTGAGATTTGGATGTTTATTAGCAGCCATTAGGTTTTGCACAGGGCAGACTAGCAATGTGAAAAATGCTCCATAATGCACTGCAATGTTACTATGGTTTTAAAGAATATTTATCTACTACAGCAACCACGTGTGGAGTCATTAAGTGTCATGCAAAGTATTAAAAAATATATATTATTTGTCACAGGCTAAAACGAGTATTAGTTTTAGTGGTGCTTTATTAATGTGGCCACTGGAGTGCATTATTGGGAGATCAATGGCTTTTTTGGTGAAGATGGGGGTGCTTGCTCTACATGTGATCACATCTAATCTAGCTTCCATCTTACAGGAGGAGGAAGAATTCATTTAAGTATGCCTTTTAATATGCCTAATAATGAGTGTAGATAAAATCTTTCCATTTAGCAAAAGTTGAACTTATCATCTACACATTTTTTTTTAATGATAGAATAAGTTTGACTTGCACAAGGAAGCCTCAAAACAAAACACAAATCTGTTTCTCACCATCCTAGTGTTAAAATAGTGTTGTTGAAAATGTTTACTTCTCAGCTTGGGAATGTAGTAGATTTGCCAAATACACTGATGTGCCCATTCATTAAGCAGTGATTTGCTGCAAATTGACACTTTAAAGTTGACATGCTGCAATTTTCGAAAGAATTGGATACTATTTGCAACTAAGGTAAGCTCACATTTTTATTTACAGCCAAACTTATTTTTATTAATATTATTATCTCAGAGCATTTCCTATTGACTTGTTGACATTATTTTAATGTCAAAATATATAAGGGGAATACTAGTGGTTTTGTTAATTTTTGTTTTAAAAAAGTATATATTTTGCTTAACTTTTCACAGAATACAATAGCGTATATTTCTTATTGCTTGAAAAAGTCATATTAAAAGGAATACACAATATACACATATAATACACAATCTACACTTAGAATACACCATATAATACACAATATACACTTATAATACACAATATACACAAATAATACACAATGTACACTTATAATACACAATATACACAATATAATACAAAATATACACAAATAATACACAATATACACATATAATACACAATCTACACTTAGAATACACCATATAATACACAATATACACTTATAATACACAATATACACCATATAATACACAATATACACTTATAATACACAATATACACCATATAATACACAATATACACTTATAATACACAATATGCACCATATAATACACAATATACACTTATAATACACCATATAATACACAATATACACTTATAATACACAATATACACATATAATACACAATCTACACTTAGAATACACCATATAATACACAATATACACTTATAATACACAATATACACCATATAATACACAATATACACTTATAATACACAATATGCACCATATAATACACAATATACACTTATAATACACAATATACACCATATAATACACAATATACACTTATAATACACAATATGCACCATATAATACACAATCTACACTTAGAATACACCATATAATACACAATATACACT